ATACATATATATATATATATGTGTGTGTGTGTCTCTCTCTCTCTCTCTGCGTGCTGCTTGTTTGCATCTGGGGATTCGTTGATGCCTGCAGGCATTTCGGAAGGTGCAGGCTGCAAATGTGGCTGCAGTCCGTAGTCTGTGCAAGTGTCCAAAATGTTCTGCATCCTCGCGATTGTTCGCTGTGCAGTCCTCGCAAACTTCTGGCTCTGCTTTGGCCAGAATCACCGCAAAGATCGCGAAGTGTCGAAAAGCCATTCGCTTGCCTGAAGCAGACTTTGCTATTTCAACCAGGTTTGTCGAAGTCCAGGGCGTGATTCGGGTCCAAACCCTGCTGGCACGCAGCAGATCGAAGCAAAGCTACCGATGGAAATGGACAAACAGCTGCTGCACCCGATGCCGAACCAACGAAGCAGCAGTGTCGCTCGCAACCCGGCCTGTCATGGAGAACGTTTCGCTGGTCGAGCTGAGGGTTTGAGCCACGACAGCTCACGATGAAATGAAGATGAATGGGCATCATACTATACCGACATCGTTTACCTGCCTGTGTTGGTCAGCTCGAGCAGGACTTAGGAAGTTGAGAAATGGGAACCAAGCGCTTGTTCGAGGGACAAACAGCGGATCATGGACTACCAATTGTGTGCCTGGCGCTGGTACGCTGAGCTCTTCCTCACCAGCACGCCGCACTCCAGCAATCAACGCCAAGGGCAGCGAAGTCTTCAATGGCCGAGCATCTGGAGGTGCTTTGCACTGGTGAATCAAATCGTTGATGGAAGCAGGGGGCGCGGGCCTCGACTTTAAGTCAGTCGAGAAAGCATGAAGGCAATATGTTCACTAGGCTGGGCTGTCAGCTTGCAGTCGCCGGAAAACGAAACTCGCTTGCTCTGAGAGTTCGACCTTGCAGACATGCATTATTAGCACAAAGCTCGTACAGATATCAGGCAATGTCACGCAGGCGGGATGTTTCCTGATAGTGGGTGTCATTTACATTTGTCGCCTGCTTCATTTGGAGATCCCTCGTTCGATGCTTCTTCCGGGTTCTTGGACCTGTTACTCCGCGGTGAAGTCATGCAGTGGACATGTTCAGCCATTCGTGTAGAATGACACACATGCATGCGTCACATCCGAAGCTCGAAGGCTCCCATCACTGGCTCCCCATGTAGCATGCCCACGCCCTTACTTTCCCAGCACCCGAGCCAACACTCACTGGCCATGCTTGACGACTGTTTCAAGGCAGAACTGATGGTGTGAGCGAATCTTGCCGCGCAAATACTGCAACAGAAACGCCCTCGTTGCTGCATGCTGCAGCAACAACTTTCAGAAGAACTCTTTGCTCCGACCCACGGGCCTTTCTCGTGATCGCGATGTGCGCAAGATTGAGCGGGTTCGACCTGTGGCATTCTACGTCCTTTGCGTAGGCAGAGAAGGGACAGAGTCATGAGCCTTGTTGTGAGTCGGGTCGGGAGATCGTCTCGGGGCATGGTGTTTGTGCAGAAACAGCAACTTCAGCAGCTTCAGCAAGAAACCTGACCTGGGCAGAGTCCACCCTCGGTAGTGGCGGAAGTCCACACCTCGAGAAGGGGAGCAGCCAGCGCTCTGATCTGAATTAGAGCTAGGTCAATACCAGGTATCTCAATAAGTGTGACTCGTGGATGTAGACTGGCGTGGGACATCACTACAGTGGCTCTGCTTTCGTTTCAATCACACAGGCTCTCATAGCACACCCTTCTCTGCAGCGGCAACTTCCTGAACGATGGCGAGTCCGGGCTTGCGTCCCTGGCCTCTCGAAGTGCAAAATGTCTTTTTCACTCTGCAGCAGCACGAGCCACATGCCCGAAACTGACTCAGTGCCTCCATCGCGATAGAGCTGGATGCTCGAGGTAGCCGGCATGATGCAGTCACCTTCGCCGACAAAAGGGGCGGGCACGAAAACAATAAGCAGAGAGCCTGAGCATGCCACTCGCACGCGGCCGTTTCCACCGCGAGGAGTGGCCCTGATGAAAAAATATTCTGGAGAGCGTGGCATGAACTTTACTTTAACATGGCGCGATCGTTAGTGACACTCGTTCTCTGGGTCTGCTAGCCTATATTCGAGTGCTCCGGTCGCCGTGTATGCCACGGAAAGGGACATTTCGTGTGGGAGATGCAATCGCTCAGCGCATTCTTGCGCGGCTCAGTTTGGAATCTAGGCAGCTCCTCCTTGCACATCAAAACCACAAGCTGCCATTGTTTATAGGCACATTGGCTGCTCGGGCTACGAAATCTGAGCAACAAATTGCCAGTGGTCATGAGCTTCGATGTGATCATGTCCATTTTGACACCCGAGCCTGGAGAGCAGCTCAGCTGTTGCAGATTTTTCGTGATGCTTTCAGGGATCAGTCAGGTCCTGCAAACAACCCTTTTTCCACAGGCTTGAACTGCAAACAACCCTAAAGCCTGAACGATTAACTTTGAAATGCGATTTGATGCTGCTCTTCCGTCAGAGATTGTACAGAGTTTGAGGTGCACTCAGGACTCGCAGCATCTGAAAATCCTGATATGTGGTTTCAAAACCAAACACACAGCATGCATAGAAAACAAACACCTAATGTTCCTCTAAGTTTTCCGCATCAGTATCGTTAGAGGAGTGTGTACTGGCCACAGACCGCGCTCGAGGATCAGACGGCATCTCTTCGTCATCTGACCGCACTCAAGCGGTGCTTGATCCGCCCCAGCAGTTTATCCGGGTCATGCTCGCTGCGAGTCCAGATGTGCAATCCGGCGTGGTAGAAGAAGGCGAGAAAACCGGCAAACTGGCTTCGGCAAAACAGAGGACGGAAGTGGCGCCTGCTGCGGATCAGGTGTGCCGTTGTGTGCTTATCCAGACATCCCTGATCAAGCTCGAAACGTGCAGTTATAATTCTATTGAACTCGCCATGCTCCTAGAGGGCATATACTGACATCTTTGCAAGCATGTATTACAATCGCATCAGAATATAGCATGCTCGCCTGAGATGGGTCCCAAAATGATTCTGTGCTAACACATGCAGCATGAAGTCAGCAGAAATGAGCAGTCTGCTCAAGAGATGTCAAGACAGTTTTGGAAGAGGTAGAAGCTCAGCAAGATTCAAGCAGATTAGTACTGCGATGATAAACTGTGAGAAAGTGCAGTCGTGGTGCGTCGGCACCAAGTCTGCGCAATGCCCGTCAAAGCCGTCATGCTCACCTGCAAACAGCATCATGACACCGAAAGCTGTGCATCCTGTGACCCTTCCGAGCTCCGGGCCGGTGCCACATGCGGCCAGATCCACTTGCCCCTCCGGCTCAAGGACAGGCAAGGAGTCAAGGAGTGCAAAAGGCCTGAGAGCTGTCATGGGCACCATGCCTGTGGTCGAGGCAAGCTGAACCTCGTGGCTCGTGGGTCTCTCGTTTCAATCGCTTCCAGCCTGCTCGCTGCCCTGCACATGCTCATTGCTGCACCACCACCGATAAGGCACCGGGCGTTCTCCGCGACATCAGTGCATGTGAGCCTGTGTTGGTCTGAAACCATTGACATACACTTTACTCTCTGGCCAAATGAAACCATTTCGACCCCAATCGTCGATCAAACCACGACAGGGAACAATCAAGCGACAGCCGAAGTTTGAGGCAAGCACCAAGTTGAGGTGCTTTCAGCGAAGGAGGCCTTGCCGAATCGATACAAGTTTGAGAGCGCATTAAATGCTAGCATGCATCGTCTAGCATGTGGCACGTGCATGCGGGTGGGCGCGTGCAGTGAGCGGCCTAGGCCTGCACGAGCGCTTCGTTCGTTAGTTGCCATGATCCAGGCGGCGCTGCAACGGTGTCAGCGCTGCATTGCAGTAGGGCCGAAGCGGGGTTTCGGCCCGCCGCCCCCTTCGTGAGGATGGAGGACCTCGGCGACAGGGACATGGGAATGCGAACGGGTTTTGCCTGCGAACTCACAAGTGGAAGTCAGTGGTTTTAGTCATTCCTGTCCAACTCCTGTCGTCTCGACTATGTGCTCGGCAAAGGCGGGTGGGACATCCAGTCATCTGAAACATTCTTGCGTCACTGTAGGAGGCAGAGATAGTCCCACCACACCCTCGGGGAGCAGAAGAGAAGGCCACAATCAAAGGTCTCAATAGCCTGGCGGCGCCATCCAAACAGAGTCGCTACGGCCTCTGACTGCTTGCCCACACCCAGGCAAGCTTGCATCGGGTGGTGCAAAGGCAGCTTCAGAAGTGGCATCATTTGATGTACCTGTTAGCATGGCCGCTTTGTATCCGGGAGTGGTTGTCCTTAGAATGCGGTCTGAAAAAGCGAGATTCCGGGGCACATTTTGCCCATCTCAGCGACAGCCGCATCGAGGGCATCGGCCAATGCTGGGTCCACATTCTGCTTGCACTTCACAGCCGCTAACATCACCTCGAAAGTGCGTGCTTGAATCTCACGAGAATTCATGCACTGCACTCTGCAGGGCGCTGGCCTGGTGGTGGCATTGAAGGGCTGCGATGAAATCCGCCTGCACTCGTGACGTCTCAAGTTTCTCAACTACACTCCCGCACTGTGGGGTGCGGCCTCGCTCGAAAAGGGCGTCTTTGGATCACTTACCGGCTTCACGCGCTGGCAAAGGCAGTATTCTGACCTTAGAAGACATTGGAAGGGCTTGCCCTGCCTCACTGTCCTGCCGGTGCCCTGCACTGGCACAGGGACAACATGAGCCCATTGCACCAAGCTGATGATCTTGCCAGCATGCTCTTCCTTGTGCCACCACCGGCACATGACTCGCCCCCGTCAAGCGCGGTTCCCTGAATGACAGAAGTCCTTTGTATTCACCCAGCGCGTCATCTGGTTGATGTTCAACGGCGTCATGTTAGCCTAAGCGACAAGATACATGACTCGGTATTCACTTCCTCGCGCATGTCCAGGCCATCGGCTGATAGCTCCCCGATCTGCACCATGGCCTGGTTCAAGTCAAAGCGTGTGATCGGGGCAGCTGAGAAGCGAGGCGTCTTCGGTTCAACGATGGTGTGGGCATAGGCTGCGTAATATACGGCTGGGCTTGCGGTGTCTTGATATCAAATATCAGCGAACTTCGACAGCGCCACAGGCTCGTTTAAAGTGTCGCTCTGGCCTTCTTGATGGTGGCAGCTGCTTCCTTCATGTCGGCCACGAGCTTGGGATCATCAAAAATGCCTTTCACAACATTGGAGGGTGATGTGCTCAAACAAAAACCGGGCACAACAGCTAGATTACACTCTCGGAGTGTTTGCAGAGGACAGCCAAATACAGCCAATATGCCGACATTAGGGTCTATGTGGCTTCCGTTGGCTTCACTACATCACCCATGATGTCGTCGGCGATGGCCTGTATCCGCCTACATCTGTGGCAGACTTTACAGTTGATGCGGTTCCGCCCACTCAATTTCCTGGATATGTCGAAGCTACGCGGTGAAAACAAACAGTGATGTGCAGAATCGCTAGACTTGCGCCACTTTCGGTGACCCCGGGGCCACACACCATGGATCACTCAGCAAGATTAATAATCGGGCAGATCGTGCCAGCTGTTCTTCGATGCCAAAACCCCTTCCTGCTCCTTCCTCTGCAGATAGCCGTTGAACGAGATACGATGCGAGCGCCTTAGTAAAAGCCTAAGCTGGCCAGGGGTTCACCTTGCTTTATTAGCAATGCCGTCCGAGCTGCCGCAGGGTACCTGACAGTGGCCACCGCGCAGGCGAAGCACCAAGTGCAACGTGGACTCCTGGGAGTCTGTGTTCCAATAAAAGAGGTCACGTGAAAGATAAATATCGGCCTTCTGGATATTGTAGTCCGACAAGGTGCGGCCATCCTGGGGAGTGCAGGGCGCAATCGGCACCTGCAGACAGAGCCTTGGCATACTCCAAGACCCTGCGACGATCATCCGTCCTCGAGCTGCTTCCCCGCAAAAATGAGCCGCTGCCTTGCCGCTATGGCAAGAAAGCACTACATTCTTTCGCATCTCCCACGTAAGTTTCCGACTGGTCAGGTGGGATACCTTCCTTGCGAACTTGGAAGCTGCTTCTCACGCAAGGACTGCACGGCATGATCAAAGCTGCAGCATGGCAACATGCAGGACCCTGTTTAACCAGAATCATACAGTCCTTGTCTTGGATCTTGGCCTCGCGTGACAGTGCCGTCCGCTATCGTCCGCTGTTCACAGTGGCACAACTCGCTCAGTCAACACGTCACCTTCACATTGTCGATGGTGTCAGAGGCCTTCTTGCCACAGCACAGTCCGCTTGGCAGGAAGCATGACAACAGCGTCTTGACAACTACCGTGCTTTGGATTTAGTGGCACATCCATCGACAGCAGATTTCGACAAGCATGAGGCTGTTCGGTGCTGCCTACTTGTATTCTTACACTTGCTTCAAACTTGCGGTTGTGCCAGCTTGCAATCCCCGCTTTGCCGACAGAGATGATCTTCACTTGAAAGATATCGATACATCAAGACATCAGGGCCTCGACATCCAGTGTGATAGTCTTGCCCGTCAGAGTCTTTACCTGAACAGCAACTGTGCAGGGCCCGAGGCATTGCGGGCCATTGCCAGTGAACCAAGGCACGAAGATCTGCATGACAGTGGCAAAACACCGTTCAGGCTGAATTGATGGGGAGCTGAGCTAGCGACGAAATGTCTTCAGTATGCAAGCATCCATGCGGCACACAGACTTGCGAGTTCATGATGCAAAGATGCCGCATGCCGCGGCAATGTCCGTGATCAGGCACTGGCGCAAACGTTTTACACCAGCTGACGTCTCAAAATTCTAGAGCAGCTGCCTCAGACTCGCAATCTGTGCGCAGAGCGTCCTCGGAAGTAATTACAATTACAAGCTTGTCAGGCTGTGGGGCTACTCTGTGAAGCATAACCAGCAGGAACGAGCCGCGAAACTGCTTCGACAGTTCGGTTTTGTGCATCTTCCATCCAGGCTTGCTACTCCCAATGTCATACATTATCACAGTAACAGCAATCGCAATTCCTTTTCCTCCGCCAGGTTTTCAGGCTCGTTTATGTGCGGCGCCAGGCTTACCGGGTACTTCACTGCTTGGCAGCCTCACGTGCCTCGCGTGCCTGGCGTGCTGCATGAAGCTGGCTCAAAAGAGTGGTGAGGTCGCCGAGCGGGTCTACCGCCGGTCGGCAAGCCTTGCAAGCCAGAATAGCCTCAGAGACAAGAGTCTTCGAACAAGCTACATGCTTGCTACAAACAACCCATGCGACCCATGCACACCCATTTCCCCAAGGGGCAGTCCGATGATCCATGTTGGCAGCATGCATTACGTACGCAACGCCAGTAGTGCCTGCTCGATGAGCTCCGGCTAAGCAGTGGATCAGAACGCTGTGTCCTGTCAGGGCTAGCGGTTTCAACGTGCATGAGTCACATAATCATCACTTCGTTTTCGATGAGATTCCGACTCTGACAATATCATACATCTCGGTATGTCTGCATGCTCAGAACGACATCACCGGTCTCAACTGGAAACTGCCGCCAGGTTTCATGCAAAAAGATTGATGACATGGGTCTTGCTCTGTGAGACCCAGCACAGAAAATACTTTCAGTTTCGGAGCGGTGTCTCTCTCCATTGCCTTTGAGATTCCATTGGTCCGTGCAAGACCCGTTTAGGTTCCTTTAGATTTGTTCGGGGGTTGAAAGAAGATTCCGATCAAACTCGTACTGTAATGAAGTTTGGCGTGGTTCAGTACAGCGACGACGGCGCGGACACTACTGAGGATGAAGCTGTTGACGATGATTGGCAATTGTGCAATTGACTGATGCGCACATCAGCACGAGAAGAGTGGCGGGCTCGGCATGGACGCTTACAAGCACACATCGGTGCAGTCGCTGCAATCCTGAGATCTTGAGGGTGACTGAAGGTGTCAATTAATTAATGAGCGAGGGAGCGAGTAAGTGAGCGAGTTGATCAACACATCATGACCCATTGACAGCCGGAGGCACGTCAGTGGCACACCAAAGGAACCCACTGCCGTTGCGAATGAATGACAGCTTGTGCATGATCCGCAAAATGGATATCTTCTCCCTCGGAACCCCGGTTCTACACTGGCGGCATACAACTCTTGAAGCTTGTGATGTGACGAGGCGAGGAGCCATGAGGCGCCCGAGTAACATTGCTTTTGCGGATCTTCCCAACTTTCAAATTTTCGGGATGACTGGACAATGATTGGTCAATGACATGCATTTAAGGCCTAAATGCATGTCTTTGAACCAATCATCCCGATAAGATTGGGGTTTATTTAGGGCACAAGCAAGGGGCAGGGGTGAGGGGAGACCGGATCTACTTGTACCTCATGCTGGCCGAAACTTAGGCGACTTTCCCGAACCATGCTGCTTCGGCTGGCGGCGGTGATATGCAGCTGTGTTGCACAAACATCCTATGCAACATGGGGCACGGTCATGGGCGTGGTGGCTTGGTTTCATGCTGACATATTTGCGTGTGCGTGCGTGTGTGTGTGTGTGATGGTGTGTGTGTGTGTGTCTGTGTGTGCATGTGTGTGCATGTGCTACATGCGTGCGTGCGTGCGTGCGCATGTGTGCACGTGTGCGTCGCACCCTGCTACCAAGAGTCATTTTAAGTGGCTTTCGGTTATTCTTGCTGCAACAGTGGTAATCCAACGAAGACGCAGTTACAAACCACTGATATGAGGTGTGGCCGCCCGAATGTTGCAACCATAACTGCTGTTGCTTGGGATGCGGCCGCATTCGCATTGAGACTGCGAATGGCATGAGCCTTGATGGGCCAAATGACAGGTCCCGGGCCCACGACGGATTCAAAACATAGAGCTTGGTCCTATCCAGCTACACTGACTATCTGATAAGTGTATTCCAGGTAGTTGCAGGGGTCACGTCTGCAATCGTTTTATCGCGTGTGCTCGGGTAGCCCGAGCTCACATTCCTGCTTGTTCTTGTTATGTTACGGCAGAACTCCATGCGCTTGGATCATGCTTGGCTCCTTTGCAGAGTCCCAGGTCCCTGCTTGGCCACAGATCCTTGGTGAGATTGTTAAGAGAAAAAACACCACCGAGTTGCCACCCTCGATTGCAGACCACCCGGTTTAATCAGGTCCGATCAAACAAAGGCCTTCCATGATTGAAGCCATTTCCAGGCATCCTGGTGCGACAACTTGGCAAGTTGGAGCTGCAGTGGGAGTCGTTCGTCCTCGAACAATTCGTGGAATTTCCGGTATGCTGCGTTACCACCAGACACGCCATGGCACAAGCAGAGCAGCTCGCTGCTGTATGTCGGCAGCACGGCTCATAGTGTCATAAACAGACGTCAACAGGTTGGTTGTACGTCGGAAGACGGCAAAAACTAGCCACGTCGGTGCTGTACTCGCTTTAAGACGCTGGGCATCGAAAAAAAGGATTTGACCAATTCGTTATGGATCCACTGAAGCACTGTGATAATTATCTAAAAGCTTGGGTCCTCGAGTCCTCGAGCATGAGATCATCGCACAGTGGCAATCACAGCTCAGTTTTCCTGATGCTATGCAGTTTGTCAAGAAACCTGTGCTGGGGCACCGAGTGTCAATCAAACGACATTGAACTGCCTACGTGGCGAAAACTGAGCTGAAGGATGTACAAAGACAAGAGAAGCTTCACTTCTCGAGAAGAAGGCTGGGATGTACTGATGTACTGTATGATTCGGCGTCATTGACCAAATCGTCATTTGTAGCCTCCAAGTTTGTTCGTTCCCGAGTTTTTGACGAAGTCTGAGTCTATGATCTCATCGAACTCAGCAACTGTATTGAGCAACCCAGTGCAGCAGTCTGAGCGACGGTCATTGCTGCGTTTGGTGCACCATGAATTGGAACAACACACGACTCAGTGGCTCCAAACGCCACACACAGCGCCACAAGCACCTTTTCCTCTCCACGTGGCCCAAGGCCATGATTCGAGAGGTTCCGCACCACCAAAGTATCAAGAAGTTCCTTCGCAACTTTGCGTGTGAGAGGAACAAAAATGTCAATGTGGAACTCAGACTTCAAGCCGCAGAACTTTCTGTGTCATGCCAGCTTTGTCGAAGGCCCATAGAATCTTTGTCAAATGTACCCGACTTTTACAGCAGTGCTTAAGCCTGCTGCGCAAGTGAGTTCTTCCCAAGCAAGCACAAGTGGATGGACCGTAGCAATTTTTCCACAAGTGGTTACGTCGCAGCAAGCCGCCCGATACGGAAGCCGTTGTTTCGGAATTTTTTGCAGGAACAATGGAGGCATCATGCTGTTGTCATTGCGACCAGGATAGGCTTACGTGGAAGTTGGTGCAGCAGGTCAAAGCCAAGCTGCATCACAAGTTTGTCCTGAATGAAGATCATCATCCGAACCATTTGGTCTGCAATTGCCCAAGGTTCTTTGCTCAGACATGGAACGACAAAGCGGGTTTGGAAAGTCTCAAAGGCTGTCAACAGCTGCGGAACATCTGGGTCTGATGTGGCTGGGCAGCCTGTGCTGAAGTCCATTTTGCTCTTCTGATTTTTATCAGCTCGGAAGAGTCGACAATCAGCGCTGGCTGGCTTGGATTCATCGTCAACCACAACCACAACCGGCACCGGCACCAGCAATGATGATGATGATGATGACGATAATGACATCAACAAAACAATGTGAACATTTAAAGTCTCCGTTGTTACTTTTCCTTGCACATCTTGTACAGCTACAAACACGTCGAACACCACAAACACTTACCACCCCCACTTCCACCTCGGCTCCTTTTTTCGCCACCGATACGTTCACGACGGGTTGACCCGATACCAACACCCACAGCTCACATTTCACCCACTCCCTTCTTCCAATTTTTCGAGACCGAACCAGGCATGAATTTCCTGGGTTTCATTCTTTCACAATTTCCACTACAGATCACAGCAACACCTACAAAGCCCCCACACACCTCAGTCACCGACATCATGTCACCACACTCCGTACCCACACAACCGACTTTGCGAAGCAGTTTTGCAGCACCGCGGATCCTTGCCCAGCGCCTCCACTCCGAAACTGGCCTATGACCGAGTCATGGTGCAGCTACACCCTTGTACAGCAACGCCGGATACGATCCTGCGTCTTTGGCATATAAAACAAACTTCAGCCGCGCCAGGTTCATCGATGCCCGGATAGCAGTACGTTGACATGTCAATGCCTCGCACACTTTGTGTCACAGCTTGGCTCAACCTGGCAGCATCTTTAACAGCACGACGCAGACCGGTGCCATTTAGCAGGACCTTGCTGGGCGAGTTGCCACTTCGGCATGCCTTCAGCGCTGTCGCCTTCACTCGGATCTGGACTGTCCGCCGTGAGCCGGAACAAGAAGAGCTTGCGGAGGAAACCAAGGAGCATTTTTGCTGGTCGCGGCTATGATTAGCTCGACACTTCCAAGAGCCCATGCTCTTTTGGAGGATGAGCATAAAGCCTGCCTAGGCTTGGCAGAAGTTTGTGTGCACCCTCAAGTCGTGCACGCAATGCCTGAGTCAAGTCAACAGACACTTGCACCACAGGGTGCACCACTACCTCGAACAACAAGATTTGCAATGTGGCTCTTGGTTTTCGACCACTTGGCCAGGCAGAGCTTCTT